GCCGAGCCCCCCGAGCTGAGCGCGCCGGCCGCCGGTGGCCGCCGCCAGCATGCCCCTGCCCGCGGGCCGCTCCGCCGGCAGCCACCCCCGCGGCCCTCGGTGGCCCGCGCTCGGCCCGGGAGCGCGGGAACCGCAGCCAGAGGCGGGAGCAGCGAGTCGGAGCCCCGGGCGCCCGAACGCAGGGTGAGCGCCGCCGCCCTGGCCCGAGGGCGGCCGGAAGGGAGGACCCCGGCGGGGAGGGAGGGGGCTTTTCGCGCGCTGTCGGTCGCGGGGTCGGTCCGGGGGTCCACGAGCGCCGCTTAGCGCTGGCACCCCCCAACTGGGGGACCTTCGGGGTAACTTCCCCGGAGCCAGCCCTTCCCTCCATTCCCCTGCATCTGGGGTGGCGGCGCGGCCCCCGGGGGCTCTCAGGGGACGGGGGCGGGGCGGTCCAGGGATCCGGTGCCCGCCCCTGCTCGGCGCTACCCCGAGGGGTCCGGGGCCGCAGTCCCGCCAGGTTTCCCAGGGTGTCTCTCGAACGCCTTCGGGTTGGGGCAGGACTCGGGGGACCCACTGGGGACCAGCAGGCGAGAGCACGCGGGTCGGAGCGGGGATTGCGGGGGGCTGGATTGGAGCCCCTGGGGGGTGGGACCATTAGGGCACGGACTGGGGGGGGCGTGCCAGAGATGTCAAGGCCTCGCGCTGCGCACCACTCTCCGGCCGACGGCCAGGCCGGGCCCGGTGGAACAGACCGGCTGCAGCGCGGGTGGAGACTGGCGTGGGGGCGGAAGCCGGGGCCGAGCCCGGGGAATCCTTTCAAGTTCTGGGTTCTCTTTGTTGCGCAATGGGGCCTCCGGGCCGCGCGGCCTCATTGGCCCGGAGCCGTGACGTCACGCCTGGGCCCCGCCCACGGGTCTTGCGGTGGGAGGCCTCGTGGCCAGGGTGGGTCCCAGGCCGGTCGCACCTGCAGTCGGCCCTGCAGTAGGCGGGGAGGTGGGAAGAGCCCCATCCTGAGATGCTGAGGGATGCTCTGAGTGCCCTGCAGGAGAAACTTCTCAGCAGGAGACAGTGCCATCCTGGGTCCCATCGGCACTAGGGGGAGCCCAGCCTGGGTTCTGGCCCTAGTGGCCTCTCCTTTCTATGAAGAATGAACAGAAACGGTGCAATCCGTGGGTTTGTGGTCACTGACCCAGAGGCAGAAGGACACCTTGTTCCCACACAACCAGTCCTCTGTCACTCTGCACTTGGAACCCAGTGTCCACCCCCTACCCCCCAGGACATTCCTCTCCCATCCCAGGTCTACAGCACCCATGAGTGTCTGGCCCCAGAGCCAGCTCTGACATTGTCTTCTCCATGTTGCCCTGAGCTTCTGCCTGAAGTGTTCCCATCTGCAGTGTGGGGACCGTGGGACCTGCCCTGCAGACAGGAGGCTCAGAAAGACCTCAGCTCTAGGGACGAAATAAAAAGCCTTGTTCCCCAACATTTTAATGTTTGAGAGGCCAGGACTTTGGTGTCAGGCAAGTGGGGTTTGGATCCTGGCTCAGGCACGTGCTGGCTAGGGCAAACAGCTTCACCTCTCTGTTTCTGCTGGACCAGCTTTACCATGGGGATGAATCGTGCTGGCACTCACTGAAGGAGCATGCCCCTGTGCAGGAGGAAGCACGTGCCCCTGCCCACAGACCTAGAACCTTTTTCTTTTTTTTTTTTAAGACAGAGTCTCACTCTGTCACTCAGGGTGGAGTGCAGTGGCACAATCACGGCTCACTGCAGCCTTAACCTCCCCAGGCTCAGGTGATCCTCGCACCTCGGCCTCCCAAGTAGCTGGGACTGTAGGCGCACACCACACACACAGCCAATTTTTTATTTTTTGTGCAGACAGTTTTTCGTCCAGGCTGGTTTTGAACTCCTGGACTCAAACCATCCGCTTGCCTTAGCCTCTCTAAGTGCTGAGATTCCAGGTGTGAGCCACCCCCACTGTACCAGCCTTCAGACCTAGAGCCTTTCCCAGCAGTAAGGCACCATTAGGCTAGATGAGAGGAAGAACTGGCACCAGGAAGGGCTGGGCTGGTTGCAGCCTGTGGCTCCTTCCTCACCACCCTGCACCAATAATCACGTGGACAGGATGGGCTGGGCTGGGCCAAGGTCACAGGGGCATCTGAAGGAAGGTCTCCCAGTCTCACAGCCAACGCGGCCCTGGGCAGACAGAAATGGATGCTGATCTGCTAGGTGCATGATGAGTCCAGTTTCCTCTTTGATAGCATAAAGACCATTGGTATCTGCAGCCCTCTCACCCAAGCGCTTACTCACACTCTGTCTGCTCTGAGCACCCAGAAGGCTGCCAGGCACCCCAAAGGCTAGAGATGGCCCTGTGGTCCCCTCATTCCTGAGGCTAGTCTGCCCCAGGTCCTGGTCCCAGTGAATATGTATCTGCCTGCAGGTCTGAGGCTCCCTGGCACCTCCAAGCTCAGTGTCTTGACCCATAAGAGACAGCACAGCTCAGTGAGCTGAGAGGGCTTTAAGAGAGACATGGAGATGGGGAGTCTTGGCTGAGTGCTTACTCTGTGCCTGTCTGCATTCTAGGCACTTTCCCTGGCATGGCGCAGTAACTGCCCACAGCACTTTTCAAGGTATTACCATGTCCAGTGTACAGAGGAGAAAACCTAGGCACAGAGGAGTCACGTGACTCACTGGGGTGCTGGGCTCACATACCATGTGGCCTCTGTGCTGCACTCAGCGTGGTTTACTGGACATGGGAGGGACTGTTAGAGAGTCTAAGGGACCACCCTGCCTCCCACACTGGGTCTGGGATGGGGAAGAGGAAGCTACTGTGCAAGCAGAAACCTAATAAACATTTGGGAAGGAATTTCCCTGGCTGCAGCAGTCCCCCCACCCAGGAAGCCAGCAAAGGAGCCCCAATGTCACCCAGACTACGCTCCTTCCACGGGTCAGGGTTCTGGGCAGGTCCAGGACAGGGGCACCAAGATGAATGAGACACACCCCTTGGGGTCCCTGAATGTCCAGGGGGAGTCAGGCCACAGACCAAAAGAACTCTGGACAAGACTGCAGGGCACAGTGGCTCACGCCTGTAATCCCAGCACTTTGAGAGGCCGAGGAGGGTGGATCATCTGGGTTCAGCAGATAGAAACCAGCCTGGCCAACATGGTGAGACCCAGTCTCTACTAAAAATACAAAAAATTAGCTGGGGGTGGTGGTGAGTGCCTGTAATCCCAGCTACTCAGGAGGGTGAGGCAGGAGAATTGCTTGAACCCACGAGGCAGAGGTTGCAGTGAGCTGATATCCAGCCTGGGCAACAAGAGCGAAACTCTGTCTTAAAAAAGAAAAAAAAAAAGAGAACTCTGGACAAGAGAAGCAAGGCGCCTGCCAGCTGGTGGCTAGGACATCGCTGCCCTCCCTGCCCGAGAGCCAGGGGCCTTGACTAAGGCGGCGGTGGTCCCCTACCTTGAGCTGGAGATACTTCCTCCCTGGGGGACATGGGGCATGTCTGGTGCTGTAGATTCCCATAAGGACCCAGGGCATGAGAAAGAGCAAATGAGGCTAAACGAGCCCTGGGTGAGAAAGGCCAGTTAAGTGTGAGCAGAGCACACAGTAGGCCTTCACTGTGCTTCTCCCACACACTGCCTGCCCAGGCCCTCTGGCAGGATGGGTCCCTCCCCGCCCCCCCCAACACACCTGCTGCCCAGTGTCCTGTGTCCCTGGCTCACATCGAAAGGCCATCGGCACTTCCTCTGACTTCAGAGTTAATCTCTGGTCTGGTGTGCAGGGCATCTCCAGGCCCTTGCTGCCGGAGGCAACCACAGCACCCACTGTGTGCCGGAACTGGGCCCAGGGCTATGGAGATGTGGCTCCTGTCCACCCCAGCCTCCCCATGGAAGCAGCACTGCAGTCAGTCCCTTTTAAAGGAGAAGGCGCAGGGACCTTGCCCCAGCAACATGGCTGCTGTACTGGGGCTTTAACCCCCGCCGGGGGCCTGGCTGTGGAAGGCCAGCAGGAGGCTGATGTAGCAGACTGCCTGCCCCCTCTCAGGGTGGGCATGAAAGTGGTAACCAGCTCCCTACTCCAACAGGTCACTTGGGGGCAAGAGAGGGAAACGGAGGTTTGGGGGCATGGTCCTCCCGGATGCGTCCTCATGTGGCCTGATGAGTGAAATGAATTAAGACTGCAGAGACGTCCACTGAGGGGGGCTCTGGCATGGGCTGTGTGAGGATTCTGGAACACTTGATGACAAGAGGACTTGTTCTGGGATGGTGCCAGGGCACGCACAGGGCAGGAGTGCCCATCTGGGCCCAGCTTGGCTGGCTCCCTGAAGATGCAGGTAACCTGGAAGGAAGCCCAGATATTGAGCCTTGGCCAGGAGTGGACAGAAGGGAGGGAATATGCATTTATTGGGCACCTCTGTATACAGCCCCTGGGTGTCAGGGACATGAGCAAGAGGCCCTGGGGCCTGGAGATGAGGGTGCAGCAGCAGCCTGATGTAAGCCAGGGCCAGAGAGGTCGTAGTGCATCGGGGTCCTTTCCTGCCTTAGAGCATTTGTGCTGCTGTAACATAGGACTTAAGACCCAGTCGCTCATAAAGAACAGATTTATGTCTCGCCCTGTAATCCCAGCTACCCAGGAGGGTTAGATCGGAGGATCACTTGAGCTCAGGAGTTTGAGACCAGCCTGGGCAACATAGTGAGACTCTGTCTGTAATATATATATGTATAAAATAAGGCCAGGCACAGTGGCTCATGCCTGTAATCTCAGTGCTTTGGGAGGCTGAGGTTTGCAGGTCATTTGAGGTCAGGAGTGCAAGACCAGCCTGGCCAATATGATTAAACCCTGTCTCTACTAAAAATACAAAAAAATTAGCCAGGCATGGTGGTACATGCCTGTGATCCCAGCCACTCAGGAGACTGAGGCACAAGAATGGCTTGAACCCGGGAGGGGGAGGTTGCAGGAGCCGGGTTGGCACCATTGCATTCCCGCCAGGGGGAGAGAGAGCGAAACTCCGTCTCAAAAAAAAAAAAAAATGGTCCTACCTCTTAATACTATTAGGATGGCAATTAAGTTTCAACAAGAGTTTTAATTAAATTTGAACTTGAGTTTTTCAGGGGACATTCAAAGTGTAGCACTCACTATCTCCCATCCCCAGTACCCAAGTGCTTCAACGCTGCCGCCAGAGCGGGAGTGACTGAGTGCCCATTGCCACCCCCACAGGTGTTCGTGGTCCCCAGCATCCCTGAGCTGCCAGGAGTGAGGGTGGCTACTCCCCGAGGCCTGGCTCCAAGGAGGATGCCTCAGCCGCCTGCCAGCTCCGGTCTGCACCATGAGTGATGAGCAGCAGCTGCCTGGCAGTGCAGTGGGCTGGCTGGCATGTGGGGGCCTCTCCCTGCTGGCCAACGCCTGGGGCATCCTCAGCATTGGCGCCAAGCAGAAGAAGTGGAAGCCCCTGGAGTTCCTGCTGTGCACACTCTCGGCCACCCACATGCTCAACGTGGCCGTGCCCATTGCCACCTACTCCGTGGTGCAGCTGCGGCGGCAGCACCCCGACTTTGAGTGGAATGAGGGGCTCTGCAAGGTCTTCGTGTCCACCTTCTACACCCTCACCCTGGCCACCTGTTTCTCCGTCACCTCCCTCTCCTACCACCGCATGTGGATGGTCTGCTGGCCTGTCAACTACCGGTGAGCACATGAAGCTCTGGGGTTCTTGAGGTTCCATGAAGGCATGAAAACAAGGACATATCTGGTATGCCCACGTGTGCACAGGAGTGGTCACACCTGCAGCACGCTGGGAGGGCAGGGAGGCTCAGGAGGGGCAGCTATTGGCTGCTGGGGGCACACACATGTAGCTTTGCATTAGACACAAGCAGCCAATACAGAATGCTTGGGAGAGGGACATGTGACAATGTTCGCAGTAGCTCCTATGCAACGGACAAGGCCCCACCACGCTGGCTGTGCCACGACTATGCCATGCTGGGGGGCGTGGGGTGCCTGGGCCATCAGGATCCTCTACAGGTCCACAGAGGCCTGGGGAGCCCCTATGGGTGACGCCAGTTCCCTCTGTTCCACCCTGCCCTGTGCCAGGCTGAGCAATGCCAAGAAGCAGGCGGTACACACAGTCATGGGCATCTGGATGGTGTCCTTCATCCTGTCGGCCCTGCCCGCTGTTGGCTGGCACGACACCAGTGAACGCTTCTACACCCATGGTTGCCGCTTCATCGTGGCTGAGATCGGCCTGGGCTTCGGCGTCTGCTTCCTGCTGCTGGTGGGTGGCAGTGTGGCCATGGGCGTGGTCTGCACAGCCATCGCCCTCTTCCAGACGCTGGCCGTGCAGGTGGGGCGCCGGGCTGACCACCGCGCCTTCACCGTGCCCACCATCGTAGTGGAGGATGCGCAGGGCAAGCGGCGCTCCTCCATCGACGGCTCGGAGCCTGCCAGAACCTCCCTGCAGATCACGGGCCTCGTGACCACCATAGTCTTCATCTACGACTGCCTCATGGGCTTCCCTGTGCTGGTGGGTGATAGCGTTGGGTAGGGAGCCTGTCTCTGGACAGCCCTGGGGCTGCTCATACCCCAGGCATCACGTGGTTGAGTCCTCAGACCCGATCCTTTGAAATGGGGTTGATCATTGTCCCCATTTTCCAGATTTGAAAATTGAGGTTCAGAGAGGTACAAAGACCTGCCTAGAGTCGGGACAGCCTGCTGGAACTCAAGCCCACTTCCGGTGACTGCAGAGCTCAGAGCTCAGGGCCTTTCTCCACAGTGCAGAAGAGGTTGCTTCCCTCATCCAAGGCCCATTTTTTGGTTTTGTTTGTTTGTTTTGAGACAGAGTTTTGCTCTTATTGCCCAGGCTGGAGTGCAATGGCACAATCTTGGCTCATTGCAACTCCCAGGTTCAAGTGAGTCTCCTGCCTCAGCCTCCTAAGTAGCTGGGATTACAGGCATCCACCGTCATGCCCAGCTATTTTTTGTGTGTGTATATTTAGTAGAGATGGGGTTTCACCATGTTGGCCAGACTGGTCTCAAACTCCTGACCTCAGGTGATCCGCCTGCCTCAGCCTCCCAAAGTGCTGGGATTATAAGCCACCAGGTCCGGCCTCAAGGCCTGTTTGATGCAGAGGTGGGATAGCATACCCATGGGTTTTCTGGTGGGTCCAGGTCCCAGGAGGGACAGAGGGAGCTTTGATGCCACACTTAGGTAGGGGCGCTGGACTGGGAGACAGGACAAGGACAAGGGGGCCTCAATTGTCTGTTGGGGAGTTGCACTTGATACTAACGGCTGGGGAAGGCCAAGGGGAGGGCTGCTGTGAGGAAGGCCTTGCCAGCATTGGTCTGCGGTCCAGAGGGGCCGCCTGGGGTCCTCCTGGTGAAGCTGGGACCAGCTTGGCCCAAGAATGAAGTCTGGACTCAGTAGCCAACCCCTCCCACCTGCGAGACTCCATCCCAGTCCTCAAAGGTCTGCAGTGATGCAGGCAGAGGACTGGGACTGGGGTAAAGACCAGCCTCAGAGTTTTTGTCCAAGCAGCAGGCAGGACTGCCCGCCTGAGTCACTGCAGGACATGGGCTCCAGAACGGTGACTGGGAGTGCTGGTGGTAGTTCAGAGTCGAGGCCTTGCTTAGGAGGCAGCCCCCACTGTACCACCCCAGCAGGTTCATTTCCCCCCAGCTAAGGGTCCTCATGTGTAGAGTGGGGCCTGGCGGCCCCGGTCTCTGTACAGTTGGAGGGAAGGGGATTCATGAAACAGCAGAGAACTACAAGGCACCTCAGGAGCAGAGTGGGGGCAGTGGGGCGGTGGGGGGAGCTAGGAGGGAGTCGGGGCCACCTCCACTTCTGGGCAGGGGATCGGGTGCAGCTTGTGGGGCCACTCCATGCTTCTGTTATAAAGTGTCCAGAATCTTCACCCTCTAGAACATGGGGTGTTCTTAGCCCATTTTACAGATGAAGAAACTGAGCCCCAAAGAGGTTGAGCAGCTTTCTGAGTGTCACATGGCCCACAAATGACAGAAGCAACCTGCCAACATTATCCACACTGCCACTCCTTTGTGGGAATCACTAAGTGTCGCTCTTTGGGACATAGCAATGAGAGCTCTTATGGGAGGGAGGAATGTGGGATCCCTGGGTGGGGACCCACAGGCAGGGGTAGGGCTGAAGAGGCCACTGGCCAGGAACGGGGTGGCAGAATCTTGAACAGGCTTGAGACCTGGTTCTGTAAGCCTCAGTTTCCTCATCTCAAAAAGGGGGTGGCAGCCGGGCACAGTGGTTCATGCCTGTAATCCCAGCACTTTGGGAGGCCGAGGCAGGAGGATCACTTGAGCCCAGGAGATCAAGGCTGCAATGAGCCATGATTTACCCACTGCATGCTAGTCTGGATAACAGCGTGAGACTCTGTTTCAAAAAAAAAAAAAAGGGACAGGAAGGTGGTAATCCATGCCCTGGGCAGCCAGGAGGGAGACAGGACAGCAGGGCCACCCAGTGCTGCCCAGCAGCCAGGTAGCTCCCAGAGGCCAGGGCCTCCCACTGCCATGCTTGAGCTCTTTCCTTCCCAGGGGCCCCTTCTCCTTGGCAGATGGGTTGTCAGAACTGCCGTAGTACGCATGGGAAGACTGCGGCTCGGGGGGAGCTTGTGTGATGGTGGGGGTTCCTGCAGGTGCCAGGCCAAGCCCTGTGCCCACAGGTGGTGAGCTTCAGCAGCCTGCGGGCCAACACCACAGCACCCTGGATGGCGCTCTGCGTGCTGTGGTGCTCCGTGGCCCAGGCCTTGCTGCTGCCTGTGTTCCTCTGGGCCTGCGACCGCTACCGGGCCAACCTCAAGGCTGTCCGGGAGAAGTGCATGGCCCTCATGGCCAACGACGAAGACTCCGATGACGGTGAGGATGGCCTGAGTGGCCCTGGGGAGGGTGGCGTCTGGGTGAGGTCATTGGAGTTGGCAGGAAAACAGCTGTCAGGCAACCCCCCTAAGGTGGTGACTTCTCAACAGACACCCCTGTGTCACCCCCAAATGTACTCAAATGTCCGAGGAACCCAAGCCAGGTTCCCTCAGACCACTCTCCTATCTGGCTTGGCTGCCCCGGCTTCCAAGTAATGGGATATTCTGGTTAACAGAGCTGGTGGATGTGTCTGCACGTGCTCCAGCTGAGTTCCTGCGCCCACCCTCCAACCTCAGGGATGCCCAGCGAGCTGCCCTGGGGGCTCCTGCAGACCAGGACCTGTCTGGATACAGTTTCCAGCAATACCATTACCCCCGGCCCAGCCTTGCTCTGCACAGGCACTGCCAGCCCCTTGCGTGTAGTATTTAGTCCTCAGGGCTCCCAAGGTCACCTCAGGTCGCACCCCATGTCCTAGATAGGGAAATTGGCTCAGTGTGTGACCTCCCTGCCCAGTCTCACAGCTAAAGGGTGACATAGTTGGGATTTGAACCCAGAACCCCTCCCCTTCCCTTTTCAGCTAACCAGCTCTCTACCTTATATGTCTGTTGGGTTGGGGGGTCCTTGAGATTCCCTCCCAGATGCCCCCAAGTTTCCATGGCCCTAAGCCTCTGCCCTCTCACCTTACAGAGACCAGCCTGGAAGGTGGTGTCTCCCCAGACCTGGTGTTGGAGCGCTCCCTGGACTACAGCTATGGAGGTGACTTTGTGGCCCTAGACAGGATGGCCAAGTATGAGATCTCTGCCCTAGAGGGGGGTCTGCCCCAGCTCTACCCGCTTCGGCCCTTGCAGGAGGACAAGATGCAATACCTGCAGGTGAGCACAGGGCAGGGGGAGAGGCCACACTTGCAGGTGGGGGGTGTCCTGACCTGCCCAAGCCTCTCCACTAGGAGCTCATCTCACCCTCTGCAGCTGCAGGGGTGGCTGTCACCATCCAAGGCTGGGCTGGCCAAAGGCCACACAACCTGTGTGGGTGGTCCCCAACTGCCACCCCTGTGATCCCTGTCGCCTGCGTTATCTCCTGCGGGCTCAGTGTCCTCAAGGAGCCTCCTCCCCAACCGACCCCAGCTACCCGAACAGTACTGCGTCTGGGCCGCCAAGCCTCACAGCGCCCAGCCAGGCTGTCCTGGCCCGCGGCCTGGTCCCTGACCCACGGAAGGCCCTTCCCCGGGGTGGGGAAGGGTTTGTCCCCGTTTTCCAGGAGGGCAGCTGGGGGTAAAAGCCCGCCGCGTCCTGACAGGTCCCACCCACGCGGCGCTTTTCCCACGACGACGCGGACGTGTGGGCCGGCGTCCCGCTGCCCGCCTTCCTGCCGCGCTGGGGCTCCGGTGAGGACCTGGCTGCCCTGGCGCACCTGGTGCTGCCCGCTGGGCCCGAGCGGCGCCGCGCCAGCCTCCTGGCCTTCACGGAGGACGCGCCCCCATCCCGCCCCCGGCGCCGCTCGGCGGAGAGCCTGCTGTCGCTGCGGCCCCTGGCTCTGGATGGCGGCCCGCGGCGGGCCCGCGACTCGCCGCCTGGCAGCCCCGGCAGCCCGCGCCACCGCCCCGGGCCCGGTCCCCGCTCCGCCTCGGCCTCGCTGCTGCCAGACGCCTTCGCCCTGACCGCCTTCGAGTGCGAGCCACAGGCCCTGCGCCGCCCGCCTGGACCCTTCCCCGCTGCGCCCAATGGCACCGACCCGGGAGAGGCCCCGATGCCCCCAGGCAACGCCCAGCGGAGCCCCGGGCCGCGCCCCGCTGCACACGCGCACGGCGGCCCCCTGCGCCCAGGCCTGAGCGCGTCGTGGGGCGAGCCTGGAGGGCTGCGCGCGGCGGGCGGTGGCGGCAGCACCAGCAGCTTCCTGAGCTCGCCCTCTGAGTCCTCGGGGTACGCCACACTCCACTCGGACTCCCTGGGTTCGGCGTCCTAGGACAGGCGGCGCCTCCGCACAGACGCCAGGCAGGCCGAGCCGCTGGTGAGAGGGCGTTGGCCTCGGCGTTTGTCTTCCGGCTCCTCCCAGCTGGCCTTGTCCCGAGGGTGGCAGCTGCCCCAGACTACTGCGCTGGGCATGGCATCTCCGGAGCTGAGTGAGGCCGCCACTGGACAGCTGAGTGATGTTCCAAGCTTGGGCTTGGGTAGTGAGTGATGTGCACGTCCAGCTGCGCCATCACCAGCCCTGGGTAACAGGACTGGGGGAATAGGGAACCCTGAGACATGGCCACCTGGGGACCGAACAAAACCCTGCCTTGGAGGGGCTGAGCTGGAGCCACTGGCTGGCCCAGGCTTTCCACCACACTGCAGTAACTGCCACACCCAGGGAATGCGTGGGTGGGGGATACAGAAGGTCTCTATGCACAGGGGTCTTCAGAAACCCAACAGGCTCTGATCAGGTCCTGTCCTGCCTCAGTTTCCCCATCTGTGATGAGCAGGTGACATTAACTCTCAGGGCTGTTGAAGTCTCTTGGTCATGGACCTTGGCCACTGAGTGGCCCAGGTGTGAGAGGTAGTCTAGGGCCCTTTGCGGCCCCCCTCCCCCCAGGCTTGAGGCCTCTCACTGTATGACCCCCTGCCCCCTTGGGAACCCACACTCCACCCCAGCTAAGCACAACACACTGCACCACCAACATTGGCACCTCAGCCATCTTGACCACCATTAGTGTCCCTACCCTCATTACTCTGCCATGGTTGCCTGTCCCCACCACATCAGCACTGCTACTCCCACCCCTGTGGCTCCTGCCATGACACTGACAGGTGCAGGCGGAGAGCACGAGGGCAGCAGGGCCTGGGCTTCCGTGTCCCCAGGTCATCCACAGCCTCACTTCCCACCTGTACAGGCCTGGCCAGGAAGGGATCCTGGCAGGGGCTTCCAGGTTCTCAGCTCAAGACCTGGCCCCAGGCAAGCGTCCCACCCCTGGGAGCAATGCATTTCTTTGCCTTCCTCCTGGGCAGACCCGTTACAGGCCCGGACATTGCCATGGGCCCTGCATCTTCCCAGGCTAAGGAGAGCCAGGAAGTTATGACTTTCAGCTGGTGAAATAGGGCAGATACAAACGCTGTCTCCTTCAGACCCTTACCCCTATACAGTGGCCCTTCAACGTGAAGACCTGAGGCAGTTTCCAAGGTCAGCATAGAGCCTGCCTGTGCCCAATTCCCCCTGGTCTTCAGGTGGCCAAGCCCATCTTGTCACTCTTCAGATAGGGTCCCACTCCCAGAAGCAGCTGCTGGGGTGGGGTGGGGGGCTGCCTAAGTCTGTCTGTGCTTCAGAGGGCCCTCCAGTCCCTGGCTGTGGGGTAACTGGGGGTATGAGCTGGCCACAGGTGAGCAAGGCAGGGAACTGCAATCCAGCCCTGGCCGCAGGAGGGGCCATCTGTGGCCAATGCTGCTGTGCCTTCAAGGACTAACGTCATTTAGGGGCAGAGGTCACCAGCTAGCCATCATCTCCTCCATCTGGGGGTCATCTGTCCACTTGTCCCCTTAGATTTTCACTCATTTGTCACTTTAGGTTTTTGCTCTGTGTTTCATATCCAACGGCAATACTTGCAGGGGGACAGAGTCCTCCAAATCGCTCCAGTCCTACAGTTTTTACAAAAATAAGGGGAGGACCCCAGATGGAGGACCCTGGGCCCGGAGCTCTCCCCCACACTCTGTCCAGCCTCCAGGCCTGTTTGCTGCGTTTCTAAGGAACTTGATCCTGGCTAACTGGGGAGGGAGCTGTCTTCATAGCACACCCAGAGCCAGGGATTCCTCTGTAGTTTTTTGACAATTGAGTATTTCTCTTCTGTACAGGACCCAATAAAAACTTCCTTACGATTTGCACCTGGCATTCCAAGGCTGCTTTCATGAAAAACTCTTCTAACCTCACAGCAGGGCTGGCCAGCTGCCCCTGAAAATATTCCTCTGGAACCTGAGTTCCTCTGGTAATATGCTGTTTTGGGTGGTTGGACTTGCTCTGTCTTCTGGCAAATGCTGAAGTCCCTCTAGCGAGTGAGGAGTGAGGTGGTCCTGGAGGAGCCACAGGATGAGGCAGAAAAGCCCTGTTAGCCCAGGTGGCAGCCCTTGCCCCAGGAATGGCACCTGGGGCTGCCAGTCACCGTGAGCTTGATTGAAGAGAGCGAACAGAGCAGGGCGATGGGAGCTGGGCCTAAGCGTCCTGGGACCAGTTGAGTCGCTGTTCCTCTCGTGGCCCCTCTGGAATTTGGAGGAAGAACCTTTGGGTCTGCAGTGCAACACCGCCACCCGGTGGACCGGAGAGGGATTTGTCCTGACCGCTCCCTGCCCCACTCCACACCGCGGGAAGCGCAGACCCGAGAGCCCACCCTGGACGGTGACAGCCAGGACCCCTACCCTTGCCCCAGCTCCAGCGAGCCCGCTAGGCGCGATGGTGGAGCCGGTCTTCTGAAGCAACGTGGGTCCTTTTCCACGCGTTTGGACCGGGGCGAGTTTAGCGCATCTGCAGGCCAGAGCTGCCCAAAAAGAGAAGAGCTGTAGAAAGTTATTTACGGTTCAAAAAGATGCACCTAAGTAGGCATCGCAGGGGTGGGAGACATTAGACCCCTGGTGTCCTCTTGATACCCACTTCACAGATTCGCGCTGGTTTTATTATGAATTACAAGCTGTCGGGAGGACGTGCCGGGATCTCTGACCCCACAACCCAAACTGCCCCTCAATGGCCCGGATTCCTGGGCCAGAAGCCCAGGGGAAGAAAATCTGACTTCAGAGCCTCCCACTCCCTAAGTCCGAACGCAGCAATAACCTCATTTATCGACCAGTCAAGTAGCGCCGCGCGCTCCGAGGGCTGTACTGGGTTTGGATTCTCCGGCAGCCCTAGGGATCTGGAGCTGCAGGGTCTGGGCCCGGAATGTGGGCCAGGGTCTTTGTCGGGCGGCAGGCCTGCCCCTCTCCCATGAGAGGCACCGGGTTCACTTTTGCAGCCCTCAAGCTGGCGCCACCAACCGAGGAACCGCGTGGGGCGGGGCGTCCGGGCGGGCTGTGCATCTTGTCGGAGGCGGGGGTTTTCTGAGAAATGCGAGCTTCGGAGAAGGCGCCAGCCGGGTGGGCAGCGCCGCTGGCGGAGGAGGTCGTTGGAAGCCAAGAGGGTCCCGGATCGAGGGAGGCTGGGGGCCCCTCGCCGGCGGGGCGGGGCCAGGCGCTCTTTGTGCCGGTGGGAACCGGGCGCCCGCAGTCCGCTGAATGGGCCGGGGCGGGGCAGCGATTCTCCTCGCTGCGAGGGGTCCCCTCTGCGCTGCTGCCAACTGCGACCTTCCCACCGCGGCGCGGCAGCCGAGCGGGGGTGGGGCGGGAGGGCTACCCGTCAGGGGCCCCTGGGAAAGAGGCGCAGCCCAGGACACCCCCTCCCACTCCCTCCGGAGGATGGGTGGAGAGTGAGCGGTCCGGCATGTGTAGATGGAGCTGGAGTGGGGGTGGATTATGTGCAGACCCAGTCCTGCAGGGCTCGGGGTACTTCCCTGAGCTGGCGGGTGCGCGGTCCTCTCCAAGCCACCCCCGCCCCAGGACAAGAATGGACAACTAGGGGCTCCCGGCAGTCACTGTGGGCGTGTTCAAAATAGTCCCTGTGTCCCCAGACCAGATAGGGAGCGCCTTCAGTCCCCGCCATCCTGGGGCTTCACCAGGGCCGCCACACGCGCAGGCCCAGCCCGGGGCTCTCGGCGCAGCGACTCGACGCTGGCTGCGGCGGGGGGACGCTGGAGAATGAGCCGGGGAGACTTCCGGAGGGAAGGGGGGGAGGTGGTGGGGACCGCGGGCCGCCGGCAGCCGGAGCAGGAGCCCAGACCGCGGGGGTGCAGGGGCCGCACAGCCCGGGCGCCTCCCGGCCGGGCCCGGCGCTGTCCATGGTGCTGCCGATGGCGCGCTCGGGCACCAGGGGGCAGCGCAGGCCGCCGCCGCCCTCATCTCCGCGCCGAAGGAACTGGCTCACGCCGGGCAGGCAGCTGCGGAAGCCCGACGGGTGCTCGGCTCCGCTGGGCACCGGCCAGAGCCCTGTGGGGAGGAGCGGACGGGAGAAACAGGGAGGGGAGGGGAGAGAGGGAGGGGAGGAGGGGGGAGGAGGGGGAGAGAGGAGGGAGGAGAGAGGAAAGGAGGGAGGGGAAAGGAGGGAAGAAGCGTGTTGGGGAGGGGAAGAGGAGGGCAGAGAGGTGAGACGACCCGAATGTCTCCCCGGGGTCCAGACCTCCTACCACCCGGATCCCAATCGCAAAGCCAGCCCGAATTTTACTGCTCCTCCCTCTACCCCCGTCGAGCTGGGGCCCCCTCACCAGCTGCCCACCTGCCTCCAAGCTGTCCTCTTCACTCGACCCTTTATTATTTATTTATTTTTGAGACGGGGGTCTTGCTGTCTTGCTATGTTGCCCAGGCTGGTCTCAAAAGCCCAGGCTCAAGCGATCCTTGAGGCATCCCTCCTTATTTGGCCTTGTGCATCCCTGGCTCTGATCCCACACGCCTCCCCCTCCTCCCTCCAGCCCAGGTCTGTACCTTGCAAGGAATTCTGAAGACTTTTCATGTACTTCACGCTCAACTCCAGGATGTCGGCCTTCTCCAACTTGCGCTTCTGGATCTACCCGACCATGGAAACGGCTCTTAGGCCGGCCGCCCGAGGTGAAGACAGAGGTTGGGATGGTATCACCCACCCCCCACCCTGCCTGAGTCTCACCTGGTGCGAGTAGTGTTTCTCCAGCAGCGATTTGAGCTGCTCCAGCGACACGTTGATGCGTGCCCGGCGCTTCTTCTCCATCAGCGGCTTGGAGATCTACAGATGAATGGCCTTTAGAGTGTGGGACTGCCACCCTCCTGCCCTCTGCCCCTGCTGCCCGGGAAGGGTGCCTGTCCCTCACCCCTCAAGACCTCAGACCTTTCGGAAGCCGCTGGGGAGGCTGCCCCGGGTGGCAGGCTCTGTCCCCATGTTGCTGTCCTCGAACCAGTGGGAGGCAGCGCCATCTTTATAGGGGACCCTCATTTACATGTCAATGAGACCCTCTGGACTCTGGAAACCCTGAAGAGGAGGGGACCGAGGGGTGAGGCACTGGGAAGCTCCCTGCCTCCTTCCTTCAGCCCCCTCCCATAACCCAGGCCTCCTCTCACTTGAGGACCCCTCCTGCGTCCCGAGGGACCCCCCTTCCCCTTTCTCGGTCTTTTCCTTATCTCTCTGGCCTCCACCACTTCCCGAGCCTGAGGACCCCTGCCATGCCCACCTGCTCCATGCCCATCCTGTCCCAATCCTAGTAAGTTCTCCAGTCCCACTTGCCAAGTCCTTGATACCCTGGAGTGCAAGCATTCTGGGGGTCACCCACTGGAGAGGTACATGGGCCTCGCTGGCCACAAGCTGCCCCACTGACTATGACAGGGTTCTGGGCTTCCTCGGGATTGATGATGCCAAGGCAACGCCTCTCTGTGCACTTCATGCTCTGGCTGTACCCACAACACCGCATTAGTTGCCCTAATGTCAGGACAATGCAGCAATTTTCTGCCTGTGGCTGCTCAAAGCCGGGCGCAAGCCTAGCCTGCAGGGGCCACGCAGCAACATGTGTCCCATTAAAGCATGCAGCCCGCCCGCGGGGCCACAGCTGGCCTCAACCTTGCTGGGGCCTCGGGACCGGGAGGGGTTCTGGTGGGGGTGCAGCCTGGGTCCCGAGTTCTCTGACACTGCTAGGATCCAACCCAGATTTCCCACAGGAGGCAGGTGGGGTGAACCCAGCTGCCTCCAGGCTGGGCGGCTCCACTGTTGGACCCTGTCCCCATGGAGAAGCACTGGGAGTCTACTCCCATGAGCCTGCTCTCAGCCCCACGAACAGGTGGTGGTGGCAGGCACTGACATTCTGGAAAGAGCTTCAGGCCACACTTCAAGAGGTCCAGGGCCCACATCCCATGCATTATTCAGGCCATGGGGACCCACTGGAGGAGCCCAGTGGAGGCGGCCCCAGGAGCACTTGCCCCAGGACAGGCTAGGTCCTACAGCAAGACTCTGGGGCCATCCCCCTTGTTGGTCCCCAGGAGGCTGGACTCTGGTCGCTGTGATGGACAGGAAGGCTGACCTCCAGGAAGTCCCTGGGTTCAAACCTAGACACCTCCTGTGGGCCATGATCGCCTTAGTTTTGGAGCTTATAAAATGATGTTATGAACAATTCGGCCCCCATTGCTTCTGAAGGTGACAGGGAAGTCACAAAAGTTCTGCAGCTGAGCCCTGTGGCAGAGGATTGAACAAACTGGCTTCTGTGTAGGGACTTAAGGTGAGCCCCCCAGCTCTATCAAGCCGAGGCATCTCCCCCCAGCCCGCCCCCGCCTACCCTTCCCAAGATAGCAACGTTCCCAGGCGCCAAGCAGCGTGGAGAATCGCGCCCCGCCCTCCCCCTTTCAGGCCAAGGCAGCGGCAACAGCAGCTATGAGCGCTCTCCAGCCCCGGCCGCAGGGCCTGCGGGCCAGATCCGGGCCGACCCGGGCTTGGGAGGGCGGCGGGGGCCGAGGCCAGGCGGCAGGCGCTGGCACGCGCCGGGCAGCTTTGAAGCGCCAGGGCCAGCCGGGCCGGGGCGTCCTCGGTGCGACTGGTTTCGAGCTTGGGGCGGTGGCGGCGCGGTACAAAGGCGCCGCGGAGTGGGCGGGCGGCACGGCGGGGCACAAAGGGGGCAGCCAAGTGTTAAGGGCATTGTGCGGGCCCCACAAAGCGGCTCCCGCGCCCGCCCCCTCGGGGCCAAACTCCGGGCGCCCTGCCGGGAGTGGGCTTCCAGCTGCTGCACATCTGCACCGAGGTCTGGCGCGCGCCGCGCCCCGGCGGGCCTCCCCCTCCCTGCGTTCTCGAGCTGCGCGGGCAGCGGGGCAATTTGTCCTCTAATTACAATCCCTCCCGGTAAACCGCCGCCCGCGCCTTTCAACCCGGGTGCATTAGCAAACCAATGGCCCTCCGCGCAGCTCTCGCGGCCCGCAGCTGGGTGCCGGGCCCGCCCCCTCATCTGAGTCCCGGCCGCCATAAAGGGGACCTCAGGCTGCTCCCACCCGAAGCCCGACACCCGCCCTTCCCAGGGCCACCACCCCTCCCAAGCCGGTGCCCTGGGATCTCAGTCGCGCTGGGTGGGGCCGCTCACGTGGATGGCTTAGTGTTTCTTAAGCAGTGGAAAATTGACCGCAAAATGTGCTAATTCGCAATGTTCTGCTTTGGCTGTGGGAGGCGAGGCCCGCCTTAAGGCCTGGGCGGAATTCTCAGGCGTCGCTCTGCCCTGGTCCACTGAATGGACCTCCGCCTCCGCAGCCCCCTACTCCAATCCCCGCACTGCCCGTGGCGCCCCCTGTCCTGTGGCCCGTTTTCGGGCAGGGGTCTCCCCACCTTGAATGATCTTCCTCCTTTCTGGCGCTCCCACCCCGTGGCTCCTCCATTACAGCCTCCTTGGCCTGCTACTCGCCTTACACTGGCCGACGGTCGTGTAGGATCAAGGTGGGGAGAGGTCTTGGTGCAATTTCCACCCGCCCCTTTTCCCAGCTCTGAGCCAGGTTTCTCCCTACCATCCCCACCTTACTCCCAGTTCTTGCTCCTCTCTCTGAGCAGCCACTTCCTCTACTAAGTTAAAGTCATTGTGCTTTACCTCTGCAAGGTCATTTTGGGAAAGACAGCAGATTAGCTTCTACAGGGACCCTTCCCGGAAACCCAGGCTAAGGACTTGGGGTCCACCCTCCATCCCAGCCTCCTACTATGATTACAAGCCCTGAGTCTGGACATCCTATCACAGCCTCAGGCAGGCCTGGCTCCAAAGGGGCTCACAGCAACCAGGATGTATTTTCAGAGCTGGAGGGAGAGCGGCAGTGGGTTCACCCTGTCCTCTGAGGGCAAGCAGGACAAAGCGCTCTCCGGCTGCCAGGAAGGGCATGGCCCAACTTAGAAGCGGGGCTTACGCAAGCCAGGATGTAGGCCACCAACTCCCTTTCCATCTTTAGCATCTAGGGTCCCCAAGGCAGCCTGGAAAGGAGCACAGGTCCAGGAGGAGAAGTGGGGAGACCCAGGCCCCCCTCTGCTCATTCAAGGAGAAAAAACTTCCTTCTCTAACTCCTGAGGGTGCTTGGGGCCTCCAAGGCTGCTCAGGGCCCCCCGTCTCATGCGGGGGAATTTAATACAGAAAGTGACAAGTGTCTGTGCCACCTCTTCCCTCATTTGGTTTTGTTGTTGACTTTGACAAAAGAAAGAATATTATGTCAGGTCTGGAACCAAGTGGGGAGAGGTTTTTGGGCCCCAGGACAAGAGCCCTATCTGCGGCCCATCCCAGAGGATAGCGGTGGGTACCCTGTGGCTCCAGGTGGGAGCCCCTTTCATTCTGCACTTCCACGGGCTTGAACCAGTGCTAACTGGTGAGGGCTGCGCAGGCTACTGTGGATGCAGGTGACTGGAGGGAGAAGTCTGCTGTCCCCCTCTGCAGATGCATTTCAAAGTGGAATGAAGTGATTGCTCCTTGTAATTAACTATTGGGACACAGCAAAAGCTTTGAAATGACTCAGCGAATTGTCTCCAGATGTGGTTGGAGAGGCTGCGATTGTTTAACTCTCTTTAGCTGTGTGGGGACTCCCAATAGCCCAGCAGCCAAGGGCCCTTCAGAAGACAAAGGTCGGGATTCCAGTGAGTGCATCAATGCTGACCTGGCCCAGTTCAGGGACAGTGAATTCAGAGCGACCCCCATTGCCCCAGCCTTTTGTGTTTCTCCCCAGCTGGCTTTAATCTTTAAATATTTACCCGGCCCCTTTGTGCACATAGGACTTAAGCACTTTGGGCTCATAAATTACATGTCACTTACCTGTTTTCCAGCCTAGAGAGAGGGAGTTTTCATTCCTTCAGCCTGGAATGGCCAGAGGAGGGGAAAGAAAACTTTTGGAAGACAAGGGTTCCCTCCTGGGAAGAGCTGCGACTATACTGGACATACTGGACAGGTCCTTCCCTGCGGCCCTCCCGGCCTCAATGTGGACAGGGGACAGGGCAGAGGCCTGTGAATGACTGGGAGCTTCAGGGAACCAACTCTCTAAAAATGACCAACCTGACCGGGCGCGGTGGCTCACACCTGTAATCCCAGCACTTTGGGAGTCCAAGGCTGGCAGATCATGAGGTCAGGTGTTCGAGATCAGCCTGGGCAACATGGTGAAACCCCGTCTCTACTAAAAATACAAAAATTAGCTGGATGTGGTGGCAGGCGCCTGTAATTCCAGCTACTCAGGAGGCTGAGACAGGAGAATCACTAGAACCCAGGAGGCAGAGGTTGCAGTGAGCCAAGATCACACCACGGCACTCCAACCAGGGCGACAGAGTGAGACTCTGGGGGAAAAAAAAGACCAACCTGAATCCATCATTGAGAAACAGGGAGAGGTGGGTTCCTAGACTTTGTTTCACTCTTGGACAATACTTAGCACAGGAGCAAACTTGTCATGCTGGGAAGCCAGCTTGTGGGCTAAGGTGCCTGCTAGTCCACCAGTAAACCGGGAACCCCTCGCTCCATGCATGCACCTGCCTCCTGCTTGCTGGGAACCATCTCCTTCACCTTCCTACATTCTCTGTTGCTCAATAAAGTAACCTTGTTTAAGAAAATGAAGATAGCCAGGCACGGTGGTTCATGCCTGTAATCCCAGCACTTTGGGAGGCTGAGGTGGGTGTATTACCTGAGGTCAGGAGTTTGAAACCAGCCTGACCAAACTAGTGAAACCCCATCTCTACTAAAAATGCAAAAATTAGCCAGACGTGGTGGTGGACGCCTGTAAGTCCAGTTACTCAGGAGGCTGAGACAGGAGAACCACTAGAACCCAGGTGGCAGAGGTTGCAGTGAGCCAAGATCATGCCATTGCACTCCAGCTTGGGGGTCAGAGTGAGACTCCATCTCTAAAAAAAAAAAAAAAAAAAGCCAAGCACAGTGGCTCACACCTGTAATCCCAGCACTTTGAGAGGCCGAGGCGGGCAGATCACCTGAGGTCTGGCGTTTGAGACCAGCCTGGCAAACCCTGTCTCTACTAAAAAAAAAAAAAAATTAGCTGGGCGTGGTGGTGTGCGCTTATAATCTCAGCTCCTCAGGAAGTGAGGCAGGAGAATCGCTTGAACCCGAGAGGCAGAGGTGGCAGTGAGCTGAGATCACACCGCTGCAATCCAGCCTGGGTGACAGAGCGATTGCAATTTTTTTTTTGACTCTGTGTCAAAAAAAAAAGAAAAGAAAAGAAAAAAAAAGCCTAATTTCATTTTGGCCAGCAGTTTAACTTAGAAATGGCATAGTGGTTCTCAGGTTTCTCTAAAACAGTAGAGATGCCCACTTGGACCCAGGAAAGAAAGCCACTTCAGCCCATGGGCGAAAGGCAGGTGGGGGAGGGAAGGGGGAGGCTGCAGAGGGACCTTCCTGCATGAGAAAGGGCTCCCTTTGTGCCTGCCTCCAAAGCTCCTAGAACAAAACACATTCAAATGCTTATTTACTAGAAAAGGCAAGCAAGGCATCGCAGGCAAAGCAGTCTCCCTCCCTTTCCTATGTTTGTAGGTGTGTTGTTCCTAAGCATGGGGGGCTGGGTGCACAGTAGGTCTGTTTGATCAGATTGCTTTCCTCTGGGGCGGGAAAGCAGGTCCCTGCATGGAGTTGGCGTGTGTCTGTGCATCTCTGAGTGCATGTTTCCCTGTGTCTGTGTGCATGTGACTTTGTTTCTCTGGCTTTAGGCTGTTGTGTGCTTAGATCTGCGTACTCTCGTTTCTCCTCCGTCACTGTTCTGTGAATCCTGGGCCCTGACACATTCAGCAACTCTAGCAACTTCTGAAAATTCTCCTTCCCTGAACCTGCCCCACTTGGGAGGAGACTGCCCCCGCTTTCTTTCTCCCTTCTTCCAAAATGGAAGCTGATGAAGAGGGGGGGCCCAAGGGGAGGTGATGGGCAGAGGAGGGAGCACTGCTCGGGTTCTCCAGTCTGGTTACACATTACTTCGGATGGCAACAGGCCCTTGGGGGTAAGTCAGGGCCGTTATACAATGAGGGGAGCAAATGCCAAGAGCCAGGGGAGGGCTTCTAGGCAGAGTGATTTTTTTTTTTTTTTTTTTTTGAGACGGAGTTTCGCTCTTGTTGCCCAGGCTGGAGTGCAGTGGCGCGATCTCGGCTCACCGCAACCTCCGCCTCCTGGGTTCAGGCAATTCTCCTGCCTCAGCCTCCTGAGTAGCTGGGATTACAGGCATGCGCCACCATGCCCAGCTGATTTTTTGTATTTTTAGTAGAGATGGGGTTTCACTATGTTGACCAGGATGGTCTCGATCTCTTGACCTCGTGATCCACCCGCCTGGGCCTTCCAAAGTGCTCGGATTACAGGCGTGAGCCACCGCGCCCGGCCGGCAGAGTGGTTTTTGGCCCCAGGACCAGCTCACTTCCAGGGGTGAAGTTTCGACAAGTGCCCTCTGGTAGTCCTGAGGTGTCCTGGTGCAGAGGTGGTCCCAAGTCTGGGGGAGGCCACAGGAAACTGGTGGCAGTCACAGGAGCTCTTAGCGCCCAGGAACATTCACACCCAGGCCTCCTTCCCATGTGGCACTGCAGCTGGGGGACTTTGTTTTTAAAAACATTAAATCTCGACGGCCACAGTGGCTCACCGCTGGGAGGCCGAGGCAGCCGGATCATCTGAGGTCGGGAGTTCGAGACCAGCCTGATCAATGTGGAGAAATCACATCTCTACTAAAAATACAAAATTAGCCAGGCGTGGTGGTGCATGCCTGTAATCCCAACTACTCAGGAGGCTGAGGCAGGAAGAATGCCTTGAACCTGGGAATCGGGGGTTGCAGTGAGCCAAGATTTCGCCACTGCACTCCAGCCTGGGCAACAAGAGCAAAACTCCATCTCAAAAAACAAACGAACAAAAAAAACCCATTAAATCTCTTTTCAATTCTCATCCACCAAATTTAGCAAGTTTTCTGAGCACTGTTTAAACACAGTCCTGGAGCCAGGCACAGTGGTGCATGCTTACAGTCCCAGCGACTCAAGAGCCTGAGGCAGGGGGATAGTCTGAGCCCAGGGGTTCGAGGCTGCAGTGAGCTATGATCTCGACACTGCATTCCAGCCTGGGCAACAGTGAGGCCCTATCTCAAAAAAAGAAATTAATTATTAATAAAGTAAAATGGGCCAGGTGTGGTGGCTCACGCCTGTAATCCCAGCACTTTGGGAGGCCAAGGCAGGTGGACCACCTGAGGCCAGAGGTTCGAGACCAGCCTGGCCAACATCGTGAAACCCTGTATCTACTAAAAATACAAAAAAATTAGCCAGATGTGGTGGTGCATGTCTGTAGTCCCAGCTACTTGGTAAGCTGAGGCAGGGGAATGCCTTGAACCTGGGAGGTGGAGGTTGCAGTGAGCTGAGATCACTCCATTGCACTCCAGCCTGGCGACAGAATGAGACTTTGTCTCAAAAAATAAAAATAAAATAATGAAATAAAATAAAATGGTACTGGGCTTTACAGTAAAATTACCAATCTGGTGGAGGTTGCCAGATAAATCAGGTCCCCACTGTACAGAAAACAGAGGCGCATAGAATGGATTTGCCAAGTTCACAAAGCTAGGTTGCAGAGGGTGGGCTCCAGCCCAGGCTCTCTATCCAGCTTCCCAGATACCAGAGCTCCTGCCAGGACCTGCAGGGACAAGAGTGAAGAGGTGAGGGGCTCAGATGCAGGGCTCACAGACTGCCTGCCTCATGCTCACTGACCCACCATTGGTGCCAGCCTCCCCAAGGGCCTGTCCCCATCCCTTCTCAGCCTTGCTCCCTCCCGCCTCCGTGTCTTTCAAACGCCGAGCCCTCACTCCCTCCTTGATCTCATTTCCAATGGAGGGCAGGCTGTCCATCCCCGAGGGCCCCAAGGCCTAGCTCTGGCGTTTGTTCCTTGCAGCCTCCTCGCCCTGCCGCACTCCAAGCTGAGGGCCTCCCCTGGGGTCCCTCTCTGCTCCCCATCCTTGCTTTGCTCCCACCCCACTCCCACCCCTGCAGAGTTTATACTGGGTTGTTGGTTCACTTACTGGCTTTTCTCCTCCAGCATGGCTCTCTGAGCTACCTGAGGTGCGAGCATTTACTATTTAAAACGTAAAGAACAACTTCCGATTATAAAAGCAATGTATGGGCCAGACGCAGTGGCTCACGCCTGTAATCCCAGCACTTTGGGAGACCGAGCCGGGTGGATCACTGAGGTCAGGAGTTCTAAACTAGTCTGGCCAACATGGTGAAAAACCATCTCTACTAAAAATACAAAAAAATTAGGGGCTATAGTGGCAGGCTCCTGTAATCCCAGCTACTTGGGAGGCTGAGGCAGGAGAATTTCTTGAATCCGGGAGGCAGCACAGGTTGCAGTGAGCCGAGATCACCTGGACAATAAGAGCAAAACTCCGTTTGAAAAAAAAAAAAGTATGTTCACCGTAGGCAGGATGGAAACTGCAAAAACACATAAAGACAATAAAAATCATCCAGAGTGCTACCACCTGTAGATAGACCAGAGGTGGTGGCTCATACCTGTAATTCCAGTGCTTTGGGAGGCTGAGAGAGAGGAGGATCGCTTCAGGAGTTACAGGCTGCCACACTCTGGCCTCAGATACAGAGTGAGACCCTGTCTCAAAAAAAAGTACATATGTAGTCGCCAGTGTGTCATTTTGGCTCATAGCTCGATCTTTTCCCAGGCTCTCCTGCCCTTTTCCCCCAAGCGAAGTCAGGATCCACCGAAAAGCTTTGCTTCCTGCTTTTTAAAAACTGAATACATTCTGAGCATTCCCACCACTGCCTAGCCTTGTTCCACAACAGGAATTTAAGCGGGCGGTGGTCGCGTCGCATGCATGCCCAGGTGCCGTTGTCCAGGCCGCTTTCCAGGGACCCGGGGAAGATTCCCGCACTTGGTTGCACCTGGGCGCCCCAGGGCGTTTGGTTTTCCAGGACCACGCAGGGCCGGCGAGTGTGCGGCCGCTTTCAAACTTCTTTTTTTTTGAGACAGAGTCTCACTTTGTCATCCAGGCTGGGTGCAGTGGCACAATCTCGGCTCGCTGCGACTTCCGTGTCCTGGGTTCAAGCAATTCTCCTGCCTTAGCCCCTCAAGCAGCTGGAATTCCAGGCGTGAGCCACCACGCCCAGCTAATATTTGTATTTTTTCTGTGTGACAGAGTCGCCATCTGTTGCCCAAGCTTGAGTGCATGTAATGTTTGTATTTTTAGTAGAGACGGGGTTTCCCCATGTTGGCCATGTTGGTCTCGAACTCCTGACCTCAAATGTTCCGCCCGCCTCGGCTTCCCAAAGTGCTGGGATTACAGGCGTGAGGCACCGCGCCCGGGGCGTTTCAAACTTTAAATTTCTTCTTGGGACAGGAAACTCCTGAGTTTGGGACCAAGTTTGGGCAGAGGCCGGAAGCGACTTCTCCGGCCCCCGCCCGGCGCTAGCCAGTCCCAGAGCCCGACTCAGAGCCGGGCGGTTCCCAAGGGGCGGGGCGGGGCGGGGCGCTCCCGCCAAATTCGGGCCACCAACCCGGCTGACCGGAGTTCTCGCGAGAACTGGCAAGCGGCGCGCGGCTCCGGGCAGCTGCCCTTCCCAGGCCGGCGTCGGCGGCGCAGTGCGCAGGCGCGGCCGGCGCGTTTCCCCGGGCTACAGCCGGCGCCGCCGCCCGCTCGTCCGCCGCCTTGCGCCATGGCGGGCTGCGCGGCGCGGGCTCCGCCGGGCTCCGAGGCGCGTCTCAGCCTCGCCACCTTCCTGTTAGGCGCCTCGGTGCTCGCGCTGCCGCTACTCACGCGCGCCGGCCTGCAGGGCCGCACCGGGCTGGCGCTCTACGTGGCCGGGCTCAACGCGCTGCTGCTGCTGCTCTATCGGCCGCCGCGCTACCAGGTGCAGGCCGGCGGGGGCCGGCGGGGCAGGTGGGGCGGGTGGGGGTCCGCTCTGAGCGGCGCGTGAGTACCTTTCTCCCCGGGCCCGCGGCGGCCTCCCACGCGCGCGCTTTTCATCCGCAAGTTGAGGTCTCAGGAGGGGACCCTGCCTCTCCGGGCACGGGCGCCCTGCACCCGGGGTGTGGGTGTTAAATTGCAGCTCGTGCAGCTCAGCAAGTGCGCGTGGGGTGGGAGTGAGCGAGCCCGCGAGTGCCTTTATGTAACTTAAGGTGCGGAGACCTACCTGCTGCCCCGTCTCAGGTCAGAGGCCCCGCAGTGACGTGGGTGGGACTGGGCCCACAGGCCCGGGTGCCCTGACCTCATAAACTAGGCTTAAGCTGTTTTCCTATAGCCCTGAAGAATAATCGCGAATAATAATAATAATAATGCAGCTAAAATTTAGGTAGCATTTAGTCTTAAGTGTTTTTCGTAATCCTTTCCGCAGTCCTGAAAGGTAGGTACTGTTATTTCCCGGGTGTAGATGGGGAAACAAAGCCCAGAGAGGTTAAATAATTTGCCAGGAGGCCACACCGCCAGAGTGGGGTGGTTGCAGAATTTGAACCCAGGACGCCCGCTTCTCCCTCTCAACCTCAGCAAATCGGCCCTGTTTGCATGCCTGTGGCCTGCCTATCCCGGGAAGGTCAGTAGCCCAGATCTGTACTCTGAGGACTGCGGGTGACAGCTTCTTTTGGGTCCCTTGCAGATAGCCATCCGAGCTTGTTTCCTGGGCTTTGTGTTCGGCTGCGGTGTGCTGCTAAGTTTCAGCCAGTCTTCTTGGACTCACTTTGGCTGGTAAGAAGTCCTTCGGGAATACCGGTTTTCAGGCGAGGGTGGACAGATCAGAGGGTCAGGAATGGCATTTCCTCATCCCTGTCTCATCTGTGACCGGCAGAATGCTGTTCAGGGTTCTCTGGACAAGAAGTCGCCTGGCTGCCCCGTAGTTGCTTACATTTCAGCCCTTGTGATTTCGTGCCTGTGGGTTGATTCTGTATCAGGCAGAAACAGGTCTCCCTGGCACTCCCAAAGGTGCTGTCATCCGCAGCTGTGGTGACAGCATTCAGTTATGTGACCAGCCCTTCCCGGAAGGGGTGCAGGTCCTCGGTGGCGGGCAGGGGCAGGGCTCTGGCTTGTCTTCATAGGCCTTTTTCATCTCTAATTTCTATTAGGTCACATCTAGTGCATCCCCACAGCCATTGTAGGATTTTTCCCTACACTATGATTTCAGTCCCTTGAGCCTTCTAGTCTGACCTGGATATGAACCAGTGGCTTCAAGGTAAAAAGTTTTATCTCCTCTTATCAATATTTTGAGCCATCTAATCCTTCTTTGCTGGAATTATTTCAGTTTTGTTAAATTTTGTATCTGACATACATCACTCCTTTATGTTGCTATCTCCCCCTTTCATGTTTTTTTGTGTGTAGTGTCATTTTAAAGGACGGAAGGATCCATAATGCCTACATGACCTGCGGGTTGGTTTTGCCTGTGACATTCATAAACAGTGCCTTGCCAGGCTTGGTGGCTCACGCCTGTCATCCCAGCAATTTGGGAGGCTGAGGCGGGCGGATCATGAGGTCAGGAGTTCAAGACCGGCCTGGCCAACATAGTGAAAGTACATCTCTACTAAAAATAAAAAAATTAGCCGGGCGTGGTGGTGGGCGCCTGTAATCCTAGCTACTTGGGAGGCTGGAGCAGGAGAATCACTTGAACCTGGGAGGCGGAGCTTGCAGTGAGCCAAGATCACGCCGCTGCACTCCAGCCTGGGTGACACAGCGAGACTCTGTCTCAAAAATCAAAACAAAACAAAAACAGTTTGTTACAAACTCCACTTTCCTAAAACCTGAGGTAGTAGTTGCTGCAGATGGGTGCCTGTGTCCACTCTCAGACAAGTGAGAACAGGGCCTCATGGAATTAGGGACAGCTCAGGAGACCCACATCTGCACTTATGGCTAACCTGGTTCTCTTATCCCAACTTAACTCTCTTTTTATCTTTAAATAGGTACATGTGCTCCCTGTCATTGTTCCATTATTCTGAATACTTGGTGACAGCAGTCAATAATCCCAAAAGTCTGTCCTTGGATTCCTTTCTCCTGAATCACAGTCTGGAGTATACAGTCGCTGCTCTTTCTTCTTGGATAGAGTTCACACTTGAAAACATTTTTTGGCCAGGTTCGTGTGCCTTATATTCCCCTCTGGAAGGGAGAAGGGTAGCTCCCATTCAGGTTGAGGACAGTGACATTGATTCACCTTTAAGGTCTAATCTCCCCCAAGTGATTTTCCTCAGACCTCTATCCTCACTAAGCTATTTATAAAGGATGAGCTCCACTAGTGAATTCTGCTTCTGGATTTTGACTCGAGGACATGTTGACCTTTTACTTTAAAGCTTGCATCACGTAGCGCACCATGTAATGGGAAGTCACAGCCTCGGGTAGTTGTGATTCTAATTTTACAGTCAGATATTTGCATCTGTTCACTTTCTGTGACTTTAGACGTTTCATGTAAGAGTTTATTAACAAGACCAGGTGTGGTGGCTCATGCCTGTAATTCCATCACTTTGGGAGGCCGAAGCAGGTGGATCACATGAGGTGCAGGTGGATCACATGAGGTCAGGAATTTGAGACCAGCCTGACCAGCATGGTGAAACCCAGTCTCTAATAAAAATACAAAGTTGGCCGGGCGCGGTGGCTCAAGCCTGTAATCCCAGCACTTTGGGAGGCCGAGGCGGGTGGATCACGAGGTCAAGAGATCGAGACCATCCTGGTCAACATGGTGAAACCCCGTCTCTATTAAAAATACAAAAAATTAGCTGGGCATGGTGGTGCGTGCCTGTAATCCCAGCTACTCAGGAAGCTGAGGCAGGAGAATTGCCTGAACCCAGGAGGCGGAGGTTGCGGTGAGCCGAGATCGCGCCATTGCACTCCAGCCTGGGTAACATGCGTGAAACTCCGTCTCAAAAAAAAAAAAAAAATACAAAGTTACCTGGGCATGGTGGCGCATGCCTGTAATCTTAGCTACTTGGGAGGCTGAGGCAGGAGAATTGCTTGAACCCAGGAGGTGGAGGTTGCAGTGAGCCGAGATCATGCCATTGTACTCCAGCATGGGCAATGAGAGTGAGACTCCATCTCAAAAAAAAAAAAAAAAATACGGCAGGCACAAGGATAGCAGTTCATACCTGTAATCCCAAAACTTTGGGAAGCTGAGGCAGGCGGATCATGAGGTCAGGAGATCGAGATCATCCTGGCTAACATGATGAAACGCCATCTCTACTAAAAAAAAATACAAAAAATTAGCCAAGTATGGTGGTGTGCATCTGTACTCCTAGCTACTCGGGAAGCTGAGGCAGAAGAATTGCTTGAACCAGGGAGGCAGAGGCTGAAGTGAGCCGAGATTGTGCCACTGCACTCCAGCCTGGGCGACAGAGCAAGACTAAATTGAACGTCCCACAGCCAATGAAATGAACTACATATGGCTCTTAGGATTCAGGGTGGAAACCTTGGACCCTTCTTTGCTTCTCTTTGCTGTGCTTGTCCCCAGATGAATGACTGAGCATGTGCCTGGGGGTCATGAACCAGAGATCCCATCAGCTATAGCAGGAGAGCATCTCTTTACTATGATGCTCTTATTGGCTTGTTGGCATTTTAAAGTAAACCAATGAACAGCACAACGTAGGGGAATGTGTTTTCTTACCATGAAATTTTAATGTGATGACAAGTGCTGATTGCCCACGAGCACATTTTCTGTTTTTTCCTATCTTCGGGAAAATAGGTTAATTTTCAGCAGTTCAGAGGGGAGCTCAGCAGGCCAGTGTTTCACTCCTTGTTTGTCATCAATGTCTCTCTCCCGCAGAACTGAAGCAGATCACCTGGCTCAGCATCACGGGGCTGCTGATGGTGGTCTTTGGAGAATGTCTGAGGAAGGCGGCCATGTTTACAGCTGGCTCCAATTTCAACCACGTGGTGCAGAATGAAAAATCAGATACCCATACTCTGGTGACCAGTGGAGTATATGCTTGGTTCCGGCATCCTTCTTACGTCGGGTGGTTTTACTGGAGTATTGGAACTCAAGTATGGTATCAGATATGACACTGCTTTCCCTTTTTTTTTCTAACATTTTAAACATTGTGATATAATTCACGTACCATAAAAATCACCATTTCAAAGTATACAGTTAGTGGTTTTCAGTGTATTCACGAGATGGTTGATCTCCTTTAAACAGGTACGTGTTCTCCTTGGCATGTTTCAAGTGATTAAAAAAAGTAAGGAGAACTAATGTAGTCATTAATGGTTTTTATTATGTGCACAAAACCTGGGTATACAAACCCTTGGTGATTCTTGGTGCTGTTAGCTACCTGCTGTATCCCTTCATCCTGTTTCTACCTGTGTTTTGTTTTGTTTTGTTTTGTTTTTTTGAGACGGAGTCTCTCACTCTTGTCACCCAGGCTAGAGTGCAATGGCTTGGTCTCGGCTCACTGCAACCTCCGCCTCCAGGGTTCAAGCAATTCTTCTGCCTTAGCCTTCCAAGTAGCTGGGACTACAGGCGCATGCCACCACACCTGGTTAATTTCTGCATTTTTAGTAGAGACGGGGTTTCACTGTGTTGGCCAGGCTGGTCTTGAACTGCTGATCTCATGAGGCTGCCTGCCTCAGCCTCCCAAAGTGCTGTGATTACAGGTGTGAGCCACTGTGCCAGGCTGTTTTTTTGTTGTTGTTGTTTTGTTGTTGTTTTTTTTTAATTTTTTTTTTTATTTTTTGGTGGAGACAGGGTCTTATTGTGTTGTCCAGGCTGGTCTCAAACTCTTGGCCTTAAAGTGATCCTCCCACCTCAGCCTCCCAAAGTGCTAGCATTATAGGCATGATCCGCTGTGCGTGTCCTCTTCTCTGCCCCTGCAACCTGTTAATAGATCCGAAGCACCCCAGAGGGGCTGAGGACTCTGGACAGAGATGGGGCTTAGGGAAGGGAGTGCCCTTTACCACTCCTGTAGCAGCTTAGCTGGTTTTCGTGAGAAATAGATATTAATGAGGCCAAGGTCATGTGTTAATGAGCTGTGTAAGCTGTGGAGGTTTGTTCTGTCTCAGGCTGAAGAAAAAGCCTTTTTGTTTTTGGAGACATAGTCTTGCCCTGTCACCCAGGCCAGAGTGCAGCAGTGCGATCTCAGCTCACTGCAACCTCTGTCTCCCAAGTAGCTGGGACTATAGGCACGAACCACCATGCCTGACTAATTTTTTATTTTTATTTTTTGTAGAGACAGGGTTTTGGAGTTGCCTAGGGTGATCTTGAACTCTTGAGCTCAAGCAATCTGCCCTCCTGGGCCTCTCAAAGTCCTGGCGTTACAGGCTTTAGCCACTGTGCCTGGCTTTTTGGCAGGGGTACAGAGTCTTGTTCTGTCACCTAGGCTGGAGTGCAGTGGTTCGATCTTGGCTCACTGCAACCTTCGCCTCCTGGGTTCAAGCAGTTCTCTGCCTCAGCCTCCCAAATAGCTGGGATTACATGCACCCACCACCACACCTGGCCACTTTTTTGTATTTTTAGTAGAGATGGGGTTTCACCATGTTGGCCAGGCTGGTCTTGAACTCCTGACCTCATAATCCACCTGCCTCAGCCTCCCAGAGTGCTGGGATTACCTGTGTGAGCCACCTCACCCAGCCCTTTTCAAAAAAGATCAGTGGGCCGGGCGCGGTGGCTCAAGCCTGTAATCCCAGCACTTTGGGAGGCCGAGGCGGGTGGATCACAAGGTCAAGAGATCGAGACCATCCTGGTCAACATGGTGAAACCCCGTCTCTACTAAAAATACAAAAAATCAGCTGGGCATGGTGGCGTGTGCCTGTAATCCCAGCTACTCAGGAGGCTGAGGCAGGAGAATTGCCTGAACCCAGGAGGTGGAGGTTGCGGTGAGCTGAGATCGCGCCATTGCACTCCAGCCTGGGTAACAAGAGCGAAACTCCGTCTCAAAAAAAAAAAAAAAAAATTTAAAAAAAAAAAAAAAAGATCAGTTAGGCAGGTGCGATAGCTCACACCTATAATCCCTGCACTTTGGGAGGCCGAGGTGGGTAGATCACTTGAGGTTAGGAGTTTGAAACTAGCCTAGCTAACGTGGCAAAACCCCATCTCTACTAAAAATATAAAAATTAGCTGGGCCTGGTGGCACACACCTGTAATCCCAGCTACTCAGGAGTCTGTGACATGAGAATCGCTTGAACCCAGGAGGTGGAGGTTGCAGTGAGCTGAGA